ACTCCAGTCTGGGCAACAGAGTGAGACTCCAACTCAAAAAAAATAAAAAATAAAATAAAAGCCTGACAATACTGCATGTTGGCAACAATGTAGAGCAACTGGAACTCTCTGACAGTACTGGTAGAAATGTCAAAAGATACAATTCCTTTGAAAACTGTTTGGGGCTGGGCTCAGTGGCTCAGCCTGTAATTCCGTGCTTTGGGAGGCCGAGGTAAGTGAATTGCCTGAGCCCACGGGTTCAAGACTCGCCTGGGAAACTTGGTGAGATCTCATCTCTACAATAAATCAAAAAAATTAGCCAGGCATGGTAGCGCACACCTGTAGTTCCAGCTACTTGGAAAGCTGAGGCGGAAGGATCACCGGAGCCCAGCAGGTCGAGGCTGCGGTGGCTGGGATCGTGCCACTGCACTCCAGTCTGGGCGACAGAGTGAGACTATGACTCAAAAAAAAAAAAAAGAAAAGAAAAGAAAAATCGTTTGGAAGTTTCTAGTAGAATTAAACATATACCTACAAAAATAAGCTACCTATGTTACTTCCAGGTATTTATTTACCCAAGAGAAAAAAAGACATAAGATCATACAAATACTTATATTCAAATGTTCATATTAGTATTATTCATAATAGTCCAAAACTGGAAATTACCTAAATATCTATTAATAGATGCATGAATAAACAAAAGAGTATTTTAAATGTATAAATGAAAAAGTACTCTTCAGTCGGGCTCAGTGGTTCAGCCTGTAATCCCACGCTTTGGGAGGCTGAGGTGAGTGGATTGCCTGAGTCCGCAAGTTCGAGACCCACCTGGGCAACTTGGCGAGACCTCATCTCTACAATAAATCAAAAAATTAGCTGGGCATGGTAGCGCCCAATTGTAGTACCAGCTACTTAGAAGGCTGAGGTGGAAGGATCACTGGAGCCCAGCAGGTGGAGGCTGCAGTTGCCAGGAGCGTGCCACTGCACTCCAGTCAGAGCGACATAGTGAGACTCCAACTCAAAAAAAAAGAAAAGCAAAAATACTCTTCATCACTAACAAAGGAACATGATATACCCAATAATATGAATGAAGCACAAAATAATTACGCTAGGTAAAAGAAGCCAGACAGAAAAAATTACATTCATCTTGATTTAAAAGAAAAATAAATAAATAAATAAAAATAAAATACATTCACTATGATTCCAATTCATGTAAAATTCCAAAAAATGGGGCTGGAGGTGGAATGAGGGACAGACTGCAAAGGGGCACAAGGAAACTTTCAGATGTAACAGAAATGTTTTGTGTCTTGATTATGGTGGTGGTTTCATGAGTACCCATCTATCAAGCCTCATTGCATTGTATACTTTAAATGAGTGTAGCTTATTGTATATAAATGTTACCTCAATGAAGATTTTTTTTTTGAGTTGGAGTCTCACTCTGTCGCCCAGACTGGAGTGCAGTGGCACGCTCCCAGTCACTGCAGCCTCGACCTGCTGGGCTCCGGCAATCCTTCCACCTCAGCCTTCCAAGTAGCTGGAACTACAGGCATGCACTACCACACCCAGCTAATTTTTTATTTTATTGTAAAGATGAAGTCTCACCAAGTTGCCCAGGTGGGTCTTGAACCCGCGGGCTCAGGCAATCCACTCACCTCAGCCTCCCAAAGTGCTGGGATTACAGGCTGAGCCACTGAGCCCAGCTTATTTTTTTTTAATGAATGGTATGAGATCATCTTTATGCAGTAAAAGAGGCATCCTTTTGTAGTTCATAAGCATACTGATTAGGTATTCACATGCATGTGTGAGACATGCCACCCACAAACTTTGTTAGGACATCAACACATTATCTGCCTGACATGAAAAAAAAAAAAAAAAAAGCCAGGG